CAGGAACTGCACAATGAACACATGGTACTAGGGGGAGGGAAGACCAAGGACAATGAGTCCTACTTGTGTTGACCTGCTTCTATGCAATAATGTAACACGTTCCAGATCGTGCAGTTTGATGCAGAACTTCAGGCATAATTTCCTTCATTTTCGTGCAAAAACGAACCATGAACATTAAGGAATTTTCACTTCAGGCAAATTTCATCACATACATGTGACTTTTGAGTGTGCATCTCCAAGTCTTCCTGAGAATGTGCATCTAACACTTGCTGCATGTTGTCCCCATGTACACGACCCTTACCGATCACCCAGGAGAATGTTGGGGAAGACTTCAGTGAACTTCTCCAGTCTAGGCCACAGCAGCGCAGAGGTGGACTTATCGGGGCTAGCCTCCCGCAGGAGGTAAACTAGCTGCAGTACAGAGCAGGTCTTGCAGAGGGACACGGGCCTGCGCGCAGGGACACCAGGCGGTAGGACACTGTGGTTCATCTGAATCTGCTGGTTGTAAAGGGACTTTAAACAGGAAGAATGTCTTTTAGTGCTTAACCACCATATACTGCAGCTCTGATCATTCTACCTAAAAATTTACAGTTAAAAGACTAAACTTGTGCTTCCACATAAGATATCAAACACTTTATAGTGAGCACACATCTAAATTTATGAAATTATGTGTCATCCATCGTGTACAGTTATCAAAATTATAATTGTTTTCAGTTTGATGAGTGACCTGTGCTCTAACTATAATTTTGGCTTTACTTGTTGCTAAGTAAAACTCTTATTCAATTCTAAATGTAAGAGTTTTACTGAAGGTTAACTAATTCTTTGACTGCACATTTGTTTATCATTTAATAAGAGTTCATAATAGGATCTTTACAACCTTTTGAATGTTTTATCTTTGTAAGTCTACAAAATAGACAGTTATTATCCCTTAACCACTGCATCTGTTTGGCCATAACTTTATAATAACAAAGCCATCAACATTTCCCGTAGCTTCCTCAAGTCTTCCTGCCTGTCTGAACTACTGGGTTAGTTGGTCCTGAGTTCTTACGCGTTTCCCAGCAAAATTCGCGGGAAGACTTGGTTGTACTCCCCCCAACCACTCCCGTTGCCCAGGATATTGTTGAGCTCCTCTACAGAACAGGTCTTGCCTCTGTAGCTACCAAAGCCTCCTGTTGTGTAGGGAGAGTGGCTTGTGTACCAGGGGAGGGACATCCAGGGATATAGACCACTCGCTGCCTACTAGTACTCAAGGAACATGGACACAAAAAAATTACATTCGGTGATGTACAATGGGGTACAAAGATTACATGGCATAAAAGAGTACTCTGTGTAAGGTTCTAACAATAGGAAGGGCCATCTATAATGAAGTATGGACCATTGGGTGGGCATTTTGAGAAAGATTGTGCAAAGTCACATCAAGTTGCTTGTATCTTGAAAATGCCTGCAGCTTGAAAAAGCCACAAAACATTGCCCAGGCAATAAGTTTGCGAACAAACAAAGGAAATCATCATTTGTTTACAGTACAACAATATTCCTTAGAATTTACTTGATGCATTTCAAAGTTTATAGTACTGGCTACTTTGCTCATCAATCATAGTTTGGAGGATATTCCTGTTGGAGGAAGATTGAAGAGAAAAAAATACTATGGCAAAAATAAACCCGTTTAACTCCTCTACTCATCGAAGATTCCACTCGTGGCTCTTGTTTTCATTACTCACGAGTCTCCGAGAAAAACGTCCCGATAGACAAGATCACACGGATTCCACAAGTTCTCACAGCCTCGGACATCCTCACAGATGTCCCTTAACTCTGGGACTGAGCAGGTTTGGCCACGGTAAGCAGCCCAACGCTGACAGTACCACCAGCTAGTCATCTCCAAAAACACAGTGGTGAAAAAACTTTGTATTGATTTTTGTTTTTGTGATTTGGCCCTGTGGAGCACAATTTCTCAATAGTAATTAGCTAACTAAAATGGCAAGGGCCAATGGGAATCAATAATAAGTTATGTACATGTATCTTTTATCTTCTTTTCTTTTATCATCTTCAACTGATGAGGTGAATAATGACCCTTTTTATTTCAAGTAATTACTAAGTGCAATGTGGCTTCCCTCCAACTTGGATCACCATTCCTTATGTAGTATGGTACTGAATGGCTTTCCATTGAGTCATATCTATCCACTCACTCCTCTGGCATTTTCCATGAACACTTTTCTGGGTCACAGAACAAGATAGCTCCGAGTACTCACTGGTCTCCCATATAGATACTGAGGAAAACCTCATTGTACCGATCACCAAACCACCCTGGAGACCCAGACTCTCCGTACAGGGCATGACTGAGTTCTTTCACCGAGCAAGTCTTGCCACAAAAGCCACCAAACTCTGCATAATGCCACCCATAGCTGATATCTACCAACAGAACACAACAGTATGATATTTGTGAAGAACATTATATGCTTATAAAACCTTTGTTATGTGATTGCATTAGCCTAATATCAATTAGTTAGAATGCCTGAAGGGTGTTTGTTTCTCATTGACATTTTGAGATTCTTTTTCAAGTCCTAATTTGGGCTGTAGAGTGCCAAATAGGAATTTCAAAGGATTCCAATTACTACAATAAGCCATCTTTTCCTTCCAAAACTCATTTAGATATTGTATGCGGGAACTAAAGTTTGCTTTCTACATCTAAGAATTTCTAAGTACACCTGACCCTCCTCTGTACCTTCCATTCTTGCCAGCTAAATTTCATTTCATTTGTGTTGGTGAACTTTATGGACTCACATGTTTCCAAGTAAGATGTTTTGGTCGACTTCATCAAAGGCATTTCTGATATACCATATGGACCCAGAGGCCAAAGCCCTCTTCAAGTCTAGTAGTGAACATGTCTCGTATGGAAATTTCCACACAAACTTTACAGCATTCAAAAATCGTCTCCACCATCTAGATCTACCTAGAGTAGAAGAAAATGTTTGGTATAATTATAAGAGTGCTTTGATATAATGATCCAATATCCATCATGCTTACATTCTGTGGTAGTGATAACCAGACTGACAAATACAACACAGCCACACACAGTCACCCCGATGACGTATAACAGGTCCGTCACCTGACCCAGGAGCCAGGCTATCCAGCCTACCAGGACACAGAAACAGGACAGTCAGGGCTCTCTAGCCTCTACCAGACTTCAGGAAGCGGCTGGAAAGACTAGAAATTGCAGTACTTGCTGCAAACTGTACTCAGCATGGGCCAACTATCCTGGTATAATCTATTTACTAGTAACCAATTTCTACTCTTTCCAGCCACTTTCTGAAGCTGGATAGAGGCTAAGCGTTCTCCCAGCATCCCTCATTTATTTGAGACTTGTTGCAGACAAAACAGATTGAATTAGGTCAAATCACACCATGAGGTTATCATGGGTTTTCTGATGAGGTTGGGAAAAACCCTGAGACAGTATAGGTATAAAACATTATTATTAATTGTATCTTGATAATGCATTTGTCAGTGAAAAAGCATTGTGGATGGTACAAAGAACATTAACTTAGACTCTTTCTTCCTTCCACAGTGTCTTGACATGTAACATATTGCTTTAGATGTCTAGTCAGTAAATTAAGATGTCTAGGCTAGATTCTAACATTACAAATCCCTGGAGTTGCACATAGATGATAGAATTTGTAATGCCTGCACTGCAGGGTGAAACTGATAGAACCCATTATGGTGATATACAAGGCAGTAGGCAGGCAGTTTACGGCATCAAATGACAGGCAGTCATTTGGAACCTTGAGATATTTTCATGCCACAGTACAGTCAGTAATTTCTAACAAAGAGATTTTACTGAGATTTAAGATTGCCATTGGCATTTATATTTTCCTCTGTGTAAAAGTCTTCTAGAATTATTTTAGAAAACAAAACAGCTTCTGTGAACAAAAACTTTTCAAATTTTAATCTTTAAATTTCTTTGCTTGATTTTTTATTATTACTATTATTATTCTTTCTATTTTCTAAACAAAATAATAAACTGATAATAAGCGAAAAAAAATCGAGAAACACAGCTGTTAAATGTCAATTGATGTAACAGTATGAGAAACTCGATACACCAATATGGGATCACCTTACACTTTCTATTTTTGTCAACATGGTCAGTGATTCCGTATTAGTACAACATGGTGTTTCTGAAGTAACAGACTTAAAACTGGCAACCCGAAAATATTTCTTAAGTTTTAAACTACTTCAGTAAGATTTACTTTGCCTCTATGACCGACTTTTCAACGTTATATAAACTGCGTGCGCTTCGGACTATTCTTAGCCACATATGCGGACAACACAGTGGCGGGTCGGCACTGGAATGGCTAGAATGCAGACGACAACTCATATTGCGGAGACAAACTGACCCTAATTTTACATCACACATCAGCTAAAACACCTCCAAACCCTTCGGATTACCTCTGGGCAGTACAGAAGTCGGACGGTTGAGCAGTTGGGTGGCGATTATGACAAGTCTTGCGAATAAAAGAAGACCCAGGACGGCAAAGAGCGACTCCAACACCCACAACACCTTCAACATCTGGACACACTACCCCGGCCAAAACCGCCCCGAACCGGACCAAAAACTTGACTTCCGGCCAAAAATATCCACCCAGGACGAAAACAAAGTCTCAAGTTTCCAACGCCCACGTTTGTTTTGGCAACTTTGCCGTAAATCATGAAATAAATCACAAATTTCCGAGGAAAAAGACAAGAAAAGTCGACTTACCCGCGTTCAGCACTTTAAAATCTATGTGGGTCAAAGGTCAAACTATGACGTATGACAGCATCCACCCGATACAACTGAAGTATTTATTTTGTGCTCAAAATATTCTCTTCTGTACTACAGCTACATTTTAGGTCCATTTCAATTCATAAATTCATACCTTTTATTTAATTTCTTGATTATTTATAAGGTTTTCCGGAAAATAAAAGGTGTACAGCGAAGAGGAATTTTCAAAGCCTTCGCGTGTGGCAGCGATTTAAATCACCTTGGCACCATAAAAATATTTGCGGGTCAGCTGAGGCGCCCGGCGACCCTCCAGAACCTATATTTGCAGTCATGATGACGACAAACATAGCCAATCCCGGCTACAGGCCCCAAACCATGGCCAGCTTCGACCGGTTCAGCCGCTACAACTACATCGGGAGTGCCTACGGGCGCCTAGGCGGCTCGACCGGCGCGTTAGACCGAAGCTACGGCACCACCACCTCCGGTACAACCAGCGCGCTCAAGACGATCGGACTCCCGACCAAGACGTCTACCAAGACGGTAACCTTCGCGCCCGGAACTCGAGGGAAAGACATGTCTTACTCTGACCGCTACTCCTCCAGCGATCGCTACACAAGTTCAAGCGCACCTCTCTCCAGCTACAGATCCAGTGTGGGAAATTTACTGAGTTCGACATCAACGTACCGAGATAGCTATGGCTATCGCCAAGATCGGGACTATGATTCCTCCAAATATTCCTCCAGACTCTCTACTTCCAGCCACCCGACAGCCAACACGTCAAGTTCGTACGGGAGGTACTCTAGTGGGGAGTATTCCTCCACGTCTGCGACGTCTAAGTCGAGTTCGGGAGGTTACTGCACGGCGGATGACTTGTCAGAGTGTTTGAGGGGCGGAGTTGGGGCGTACATCTCACACACCAGTTATAACGAAGTCTTTCCCAACATCTTCATCGGAGACCAGTGAGTAAAAACACTACGCTTTTAGGAC